AAGATAATTATAATAATATTACTAGATTAAGGATTATGTCGTGACTATTGTTATTTCTTTCACCTTTAAGGAACCTGAAAAAGATTTTAAATACCATTCACGTGAAACAGTTAACAAATACTCCCAGGACAGCGCAGCAACACCTGGATGTTACGCTACCGAGTAATCCGCATTCAGGAGCCGCAAGGTTACGTGGGCGAGACGGTAAAGATGGGAGATCAAAAGGAATAAAACGAAAGAAAAGCGAAACGGAGGTAGGAAGATCGCGCGGTAGGGAAAAGGACGCGAACAGCAGGTCGCGTCGCGTCGTCGTGTACCCCCTTGGAGGGTTCCTATGCTCGTTGTATCAGATAGGACGGTTAACGAGGCACGAGTCGGATTTTTAAGTCACCCGAAGACAATGTGCCGTGGCCCCCACAATCGTGTCTTTGCTTTTGGTTCTCCGTTCGTTCCTTCGTTCGTTTTAACCGTTCCTCGCCTCCCTCGACCATCGGCCTTCGGCCTTTACCGGTTTTCTGCATCAGATATCGTATGCCCACGACCTCAGCACTGGTTGGAACAAGCCGAGCCAAAGCTCGGACCACTGCGCCGCGCGTCTTCCCTCCTGGAGACCGTGCGCAGTGTCCGGCCGTAAAAAGACGCCCGGATACCCCCGTGTGTTGCCGGATCTTCACAGAAAATAATTACCCCTCGGATCCTGCGGAGCCACGCTGAGTTATCGCCGATAAAAATCGAATCCTCGTCCTTCCCGTACCCGAGTGGGACACTTTTATAGATGTTCCAAGCATATTGATGATCCCGACTCGTGGCCGAGAATCACCGAGTCACCTGGGGTCAGGATCTCGGTTTAGGTGCCCAAGGGAGTAACGAAAGATTCTTTACAGACATCTTTATTTTTTCAGAAATGCCAACTTTTTTCATCGTCACAGATATAATACAATATTTTACGAATGAAAAGGTTTCTGCAATAACATTAGAATAAACATTGCGAAAGAGCCTAGCAACTTCAAAGGGTTCTGTCAGTTTTTTAGTATTAAGTATTTACAGCATACATAATCATTGCGTCAACGCAGTGACCTCGTTACCAATTTTTCATGTTCCCATCAACCCTTATCGTGAACAGATACTCGCGGCGCGTTCCCTCGTACGCATTTATGCGGCGAGCTTTGCGGCTGCGTAACTAAGGGGGTGGCGTGTAGACCAAAGATCCTTTGATGTCTGCTACGCCTTCAGCCGCGGTCCAAAGCGCGAGAGCAAGAGGGCGGCGCGGCAGGGCAAAGAAAAGATGAAGGAGACGCGATGCGTGAAAGAAAGAGAGAGAGCCCTTTCAGCGAAGGCGTCGACCCTCGACAACGAGTGCCAGACACAATTGTCACGAAGGGTTCCAAGGCACTTCGAACCTTTCCGCTCGGTGCATGTGCGATCTCTAGCTACGGTACACGCGAGCACCGCGCCTCAACCTATACCGCATAGGAGAACTCTCAAAACGTTACGGAAAACCCTTCGCAGCCTGCTGACACCCGGAAAACGTGCTGGATCAAAGATAAGGAACTGAGGCAACTCTCGGGCGAGCACGAAGTCAGGTTCGGTGAACCTGCTGGCAGATATCGGTCAACGATATCTGAAAAGGCGGAACCAGGACGGAAGAGCACCTTGCCCAGACCTTCTGACGTTATTTTTGTTCTTTGGCTGCGAGCTCTTTGATATGCTTAACCCGCACTCTACAAAGGGGTGAACTACGGCTCACTGAGAACAGAACGTGATAGAGAAGCCTACGTGCGCGGCTTTGGAAAATATCTAGGTTAAACATCGATTCAAACTGGATGTATATCGATTTCCGAAAACACTTGGAAAAAATTGAAATAAATTTCAAATTAATATTGTACGAAAATTCGTCGAAATTCTTGCTTGTTTTACATCGGCGGGGATCGCGTGCGAGACAAAGGGATAAAAAATCGTCGAGACAAAAAGATTCCGAAATAGAGAAGAAAAGAGTGGAATAGCGTTAATTTTGCGAGGCGCGAAACAGCCGGTAAAATTTCGCAGGGCACCGTGTCCCCCGCTGTCAAAATACGGTATAGAGCTCGGTTGACGAGCGAAGCTCCAAGAGTCGCGGGTATAAAGGGAATCTAAAAAAGGGGCCCGCTGAATTGCGGGTACTAGGCTGCGGAGTCCACCGGTGCGATGTTGCTCCTCCCCGGCCCCTCGTCCTCTGTCCCCTTTGGTCGTCCCCCGGGGTCCCGGACCCAGGGGCTTTGGGTCAGAAACCTAACACCTTTCGAGCGCAAAACCCACGGTACGCTTATAACGAGATCCTCCCGTGGCGAGGCCCCTTTTTAAACGAGATGACGGCGGGTGGCTGCCGGAGGGACATAGAGAAACGAAAGGGACACGAGAGAGAGAACGAGGCGAGCTGCAGGTCGAAGGAACAGGAAATATTAGATTTACACGTCGTGACGCCTGCTCACAATGCACCCGCTCCAATTCTATGTAGGTTCGATCCTTCTATGCGAGATTCCGGATACCGAGCACCTTGAATGCACTACCAGCTTCCCAGCCGTACATATAATTCATCGTATTGTAAACTGGAAAGTTTATTGACCAGCAGATATTCTTCACAGGAATCGAGTAGTTACACAAAGTTGAGACTTACGATAAAATTAAAAATATCTTTTTGAAATGGAAGGTTTCTCAAGCACGAGCTACATTAAATTTTAATACGATAACAAAATTTTATGCCGGGTATCAGAATTTCAAATTAATTGCGTAATATCAACTTCACACCTGGTTTAAATGAGAGCTGGACGGAGGGACGTTGGAATTATTTGAACTGCGTGGCAGGGAGCATGTTTGAACGTAATCGGTGATTAACAAGGAACTTATCAGGAATTCCGCGGCAAGAGGGCTCCTACGAAAACTCGACCACGTCAGTCTGATCCAAAAATGATCCGCGAGGCGAGGTTAACGACCAGATCGGGCAGCTGGTACTCGCCGATACCTCGACACGCAGCCTCGGGAGGAGATCTAATAACGTATCCTCCGTGTACGCCCGTACAAACGAGCTCGCGTTCGTGTGTGTACGCGCGCATTTACACGGTACGCATGTATGTACACAGAGTGTACAAGCGCGTGCTGCCGCAGAGCATGGGATATTTTTCACTTTCGCCAAGCGCGGCCAAACGACGTGGGCGTGCGTGTACGTGTACGTGAAAGTACTCGATGCACGTACACGCGCGGCTGTATTTTACCCGCTTCTCACCCACGTGTGAACCCAACGGCGCATTGGCCGCACGCACACACATAAACGGTGTACCCTTATTACAATCTGTTGCGAATAACCGTAAAAATCTCGCTCAACGGGAATCATCTTGACTTTGTTATTGAGAGGCCCGGTGTTGAATTTTCAAGAATCCACGTTTGATTTCTTTCCCGCGAGTTGTTAAATCCAAGTACTTTAGCACCTATGCATAGCTGTTTAATTAAATGCACCGAGAGCCTCGCATTTGAATAATGATTGTTTCACAGATAAAATTTTTTATAAACATCGCGGCTGGAGAAATTCAAATATAAGCATAGCCCATAAATAACGTGCTAACAATGGATTCGATACCACTTGTAAATGCATACATATCAAGCGTGATACGATAATACAGGAGGTTGGTGCTTACTTAGCATATATCGAGCGAGCTCGCGGGTTCTTCCTCTGGCAACGG